AGCCCAGCCCAGTGATCTAATTTATAGGGGAACAGTCAGAATGAAGTTGAGCTATAAAGTTGAACTATATATGAAGTTCCATAAAGACATCTACTGGATATTTTGACAGTCCAGGGGTTTGTCCGGAATTTTTGATAATTTGTTCTTGTTTTGTTCAATATGAGAAAGAAATTATAGAAGAATTAAAAATTCTGTCAGAACATAAATTCTGATTTCTCAGCCCAATGGTTTCTGTTATTGCATTACTCACACATAAAACAAAATGACTGTTACTAAAACACAGTCACAAACCAACCCCCTCTCAGTAATTTATAATTCTGCCTTGGATAAAATCAATACCTAATTGCCTGCAAGCCAAGAAAAAGGTAAAACCCAGGGAAGACTTAGTCCTCATCCTTTATACCCACCACTTACCGTACTGTGGTTCTTATTTCTTGATAAAGTATTGAGTGCCCTCATCCAGCAGTAGAATGCATATCTGGCAATTAAAAGGTTCTTCCAGCATTCCCATATCAGAAAACTTCCTATATCTCATTCATAGCAATTGATGGAAATATAATTTTGGGCAACAAGGCAGGTAGTCGGGAAATCTGGGGGAGAAGGAGGCTTATAAGAGCCTATGTTTTAGCCAGAGGTAGAATTAATTAGTGCCAAGGAAGAAGAATCAGTAGGTAAAATGCCCAAGAGCTGCTGAAGTTTCTCTTCACACTCTGGATTTTCTTGTGCAGTGTTCTGGGTCTCAGCCTTAATGGAATGCTGTAAGGAACATCTGGAAGATTTACTTTCCCTAAACATGTTACATAGCCAAAGACAGGTAGTTCATAACCTACTCCCCCAAAAATAAAACCACCTGATCAAAACACCCCCCCCCCCCAACACAATAACATCACATTTCTACAAATATTTAATAATGTACTATATTCATAGCAAGATTGGGGCAAGAATATACCAGCATAAAAAAGTTGCAGACTTCATTTTAATCCATTTGGGCTGATCTAGAGTCCATGGCTGAAGAATTGAAAATACAAGAAAAAACTGGGTCAGCAGAACAGCATATTGACAGTAACTAAACAAGCACATAGATTTTTCAAGTGTCAAAATACTTCTCATTGTTATGCTTTGAACTTCCAGAAAAATGTGAGTTATTTTAAAATGATCTGGGAATCACTCATCCCATATTATGGTAGTAATAGACCCTTCATTTCTCCTTACAAAATAGAATGTTACTGTAGGGACTGGTAAATTTGCTGCTGCTTCTGTTAGTCAGTTTCCATCAATCACACTGCAAAACCCTAAACAGTTCTAACTTATGAAATGGGAATAGGAAACAGAGAGAGGATCCATTTTTTGCCATTCACTGAAGTTCCTCATCTTGCTTTAGGAAACTCTTTAAGTTTCTTTTAGGTAGGAGGAAGTAATTTCATATGCTACTTGCATTATATACTGTATGGGGTTTAGTTACTCTATTTAAGGCCAGGGAGGAGCATTTATGAGATAAATATGACAACTGGTCTATTTTTCCTGCAGCGATAAACCCATTGAAAACAACCATGTGCTGTCTTAAACCAGTGTGCATTGAAGACACAGAAGTATTGTTAATATTTGCTTTCATGTGCATAATCAATCCCTTTGAAGTTCAACAGCCATGCTGATTACCCTTATATATGGGCAAAGAAATTTTCTCCATTTCCTCTGACAAAATAACTATCCCCACTTTATGATCCCTTCAGCTTTGATCTCTCACTTTGTTAACTTTATATGGGAGCACCTGTTCCATGTGGACTTACCTAAAAGGAGTATTTAAAAATAATTATCTGAATAGCATGTTATAACCATGATAATAAGGCAATATTTCTCAGACATGGTATATGCTCTGTCGTTTCTGCCTTCCTTACTCTTCTACCATAGAACAACTTTTCTTTTTGTTAATATTATTTTGGTAACAGCTTATACATTTTCTTCTTATCTCTACTTCTTGGGATGTTACAACTACTCATTAAAATGTCTAATGTCCTGACAGCTACATTCAGCCTCATGCATTTGTAAAGTCCAAATTAGGTCCATCAAATAGTTTATAATTTCATTTGTATAGACAAAAGCAAGCACTGGAAACAACTGAAAAACAACCCAACACTTCCAAAGAGGAATATTGCTAGAGGAGAAAAGTAATGGTGCTTGATGCAGTTGGAAGCATCAGCTAAGACTCCTATCTGTTTTTCTGAAAAAGCAGGCTCAGAAACAGGTCCAGAACCAAACTGTCCCCAGTTTCCCTTTCTGGTCATCTGTCTTCTTCATGCTCAGGATACAGCACTTTATATAAATCTCCTGGCTCATGTGCCTCATGGGCAGTAGGGTTGCACCTGGGGGTAGACCTGTGGCACTTTTAGCTTGCCCAAGACACATGTTCATGTCTCTTGCCTTAATGTGCCAAAAAATTCTCATTTGGCAAATGAAAAATCAACATTTTGCCTGTCTTAGTCCAAAGTGTAAACACTTTAGATTGAGAATGCTGCCTAGTTTACAGAACATTAGACAACTCATTAGTCATGAACTCTAACTTCTTGAGACACATTCACATAATGCTTCCTACAACTGCTATCACTAAACAATGCTTAAAGGTAAAACAAAGCCTTCTAGATTTATGCAGAATTGCCCAAACCTCTTTCATTAGCAACACTCCAACCCCCCACCCCGAGGGCCTCACTTCCACAGGAGACATACCTGCTGCACATGGTAGCAGCAGTGCAGGATGCAGCCAGTACAACCTATTCATCAGTGCTCCAGGAATGAGAGGGGAAAACAATTACTGTTTAGAAGGTGGGGCAGTAAAATATTTTAATCAGGCAGGTCAGTTGCAGTCAGACAATTGTCTGGGAGCAAGGCAATTAACAGCAGCTGACATCGCCTGGAGTCAGCACTGGCAGTAGTTTTCCCCTCTGGCTGCTTCCATTAAATCAAGGCACCTGTGATGCCTATTGCCTACCTTCCATAACCCTCAGGGTTCTGGAGTCCTATCACGAGTTTGTAAGGAATTGTTGCTACACTAATTATCCCCTACCTGTCAGCATCTTGGAACCAAGAGGAAATTTGATTTGTATTTATCTATGTGCAGAAACAGGTCACCAGAGGAAATTGGTTGTCTTATTTCAGTTATGATACAGATGACTATAAGCGCAGAGAGGAGGTGGTTCAGAGTGTAGCAGTATAACCCCATTACTCTTTTCTAGTTAAATTTGTGGGATTCATCTGTTTACAAAGAAGCTGAACTTCAGCAGAAGCCTGTCCCATGTCTCTTGTAAGTCCACTTTAAATACTGAAAGGTCACAATCAGGTCTCCCCAGAGCCTTCTCCAGGCTGAACAACCCCAACTGTCTCAGTCTTTCCTCCTAAAAGAGGTGCTCAAGACCTCTGACCTCTCTGTGGGCCTCCTCTCCAACAAGTCCATGTCCTTCTTATGCTGGAGGCCCCAGGTCTGGATGTAGTACTCTAGTTAGGGTCTCACCAGAGCAGAGGAGAGGGGGAGAATCACTTCAGTAAATTCATGCTGCAGTCAAGACAGCAAGCTGAGTTAAAAATCCTGAGATGTGTCTTTCAGCCAGATCGCAACAACCAGAGACAGACCAAAATGCCTGCATGAAGTGTCACCTGTCAATAGAACTATGCCCCTAAGAACTACTCAAGTGAAACACAGCTGGCTTCTATGAGTAAAACAATAAAAGGTACCTCTGACAAAGGCATGTTGTTCAAAACACGGCAGTGAAGTTTTGGGAACAGACCTGAAAATGAGTTGCCTCCAAGGCTGCCTGAGATACTGTCAGAAAGGTAATGTCACACCTCCCTGCTGAAGAATAGTGTGTAAGCAAGATATCCTCTGTACCCCACGTAATACAATTCATGGATTTATACCTCATACTGAGGTACAGTTTGAATACAGTGAGACAATGTCCTCTCTGATGTCACAGAGAGTGAAGATGACAGAGCATTTAATAGACAGGAACACATTGATCATATTTTCTTGTTAGCTTTTTAAATAAAAATGCAAAGTTGCTGGATTTAAAAGGTATCAATTAGTTGCTTCATGTGTAGGTCCTAGCATTCAGCTTATTCTCTAGAGTATCTCACTGATATCAGTTTCCTGGGAGGTGTTACTTGCATATCATGACAGTAATTAGCCCTTCAGCACTGCCTGTCAGGAGGTGCTGTGATACACAGGATGAGCTGCGTGATTACTGTCTGCCAGGAGTGTACATGATGGCAATCCAACTTTTATTATTCCACTAATGCGTAACCAACTGTCTTGTTGGCATGGACTCAAGATGAGTCCCTGGCATGAAAATACTCATTAGCACCTCCACTGGCCCAACTCAGGCACCTGGGTAGTTCAAGTACTACTAAAAAGCAGCAGTATGCCCCACATTTAATGGATGTAAGCAGGCTTGTTGTGGTTGAATTATACAGCACTTATCACAGACTGAAGGGAAAGTTACCTTTTCCCTTTGGTAAGCTGTTTTTCATTGTAATTAATAATTTATTAAAAAGCTTTTCCCTTAGATAACACTGTTCTTCTCCCTTAAACACAACACTGGATTGCTTGACTGGGTAGCACAGCCATTTAGCTGAAGTCTATCTGCATTTCAAGTACATCACCAAGTCATCAGAGCATGACCTCCATACCTGACAATCGACGACCTCCTTGCTTGCCAATCACCAGAAATTTACTGCTCAGAAATTGACTGGGCAGTATAGTGAATACATTCTCTCAGGGAATCCTAGCACATCTGCTCAGGTACACATGTTCACATTAGAATAAAACTGGCTTTACAATATTTGCCTCTTTTCTGTAGTTTACTGTGATACCTCCTTGTCAGATTAACTGTCCATTTCCATTTGAGATTTCATTGAAATTGTGGGCAGAACTGACAGGCACCTTCCCTCTTTTGTTCCACCTGTATTTCAGTGTTGTTCAATTAAAGCAATATGAAAAGACCAGCACTCCTAAACAAATGAAAACAAATGTTTTATTTACAGGAAAAAATCTGTACACTATGTATACATAAAAATATACAAAATCATAATAGAAAATATAAAAAGTGTTAAAATGTATACAAACACTGCTTAAAAATGTGACTCCTGTAAAATCTTAAGGTTTGTTATTAGAGTACACATTCATTTAAAAAAATCATCATACAAAATAATTCTCAAAGCTATTAAAAAAGTACACAGTCTATATTTGAATAGTTCAATGACTACATATTTTAAGAGTGATGAGATGATATGAAAAAAGTAAGGCTTTTAACACAACTCTTATTTCAAGAACAAAATTCTGAATCTGACTGCTAAGCCAGAGAGAAGACATCTGCACTGTCAAAATTCATTAAGTGATTCATGTACGCCTGGCATGCGTTACTTCAATTTCAGTTAAATCAGTTAAAACAGTTAAATTAAGTATCCTCCTTATGTGTGAGAGGATAGATGCTGGGAAAGATTAAAATACTTTTAACAGCAGGCTTCTGAATTACCTACTTCAAAGCAGGATTTCATTTAAATATGCATCAACTTTAGAAAGCATGAAGGGAAAAACAGTAACCATTTATTGTTGCAGTCAATGCATTTAATACTCCTTTCCGAGTACATCTGTGTCACTGTCCAAATGCCATTTTCCATCCTTAAAAACTTCTGAAGAAAAAAGAAATTAAAAACCCCACTAGGGATTGCTCCACATGCCTTATGAACGCCTGTTTAATTCAATCAGTCTCCAAAATTACTGTGCTCAGTCTGTGCAACAAGTGAGTGTAGACACTTGTCCTCATTAAAAAAAAAAAAAAAAACAACAAAAAACAACTCTTTTGGTTTTTCTGACTTTGGCAAGAAATCTACAGCAACAAGTTCAGAATTTGGATGTCTTCACCAAAGAAAATGTCTTTACCAAAGATAAGCAATACTTAAATTAAATTTGTACAGAGAGAGTGTATATTAGAGTGTTTATGTCACCCCTCTCTCTCTCCAAAGGTACATCATGTACTTTCACTGAATTTACCAGAGTTTCTACAGCATAAAACTGCACAACAAGGTAAAAAACATTTAATAGTTTAATCCAAGGAAGGACTGAGCTATGAGTTTATGCTGAGGTAACCTTTAGAACTATAGAGGAAATGGAACAAAATAATGGATTTTTCCTAGTAAAAAGATTTTGGCTCAAAATGAGGCAAAATATTTCATTTTTTTCTCGATTAAACAAAAGAATGCCTTGATTTAACCATCCAAAACTGAATGCATAAAATAATAGAGCACCACAAGTCAGAAAAGTTACAGAATTCACAGTGGGGAAAGAAGAGCATAATTAAGTTCAGCATAAACTCAGTGCATTTCCTTAAACTGCTGCTGTGTTTCTGGTTTGTTCCAGTTAACTTTAACTGTTTTCCACAGCACCAGGGCACAGAAATGAGGCTTGATAGTGTTTGAAGGCAACTTGTTCCTACTTGTCAGTAAAACTCCATAAATTTAAAGCCTACAAGTGTGAAGGGCGCTCAGGGGCCCAATAGCAGAGGCAATTGCTTGGCTGATAATGCATCTTGATATGCATCAGGTTTTGTCTAGGTGATGTCCCACTCTGTTAGTGCAGACATAGTGGAGAGCAATGAAGCCACACCTGTATCTTTCCCCTAAAAAGTCCCATGATCTTGGTGAAAAAATACACTTCCTTTCCTGCTGCATTTAATATGCACCTAAACCCAGCACTCTCATCCATTATTTTTAGAAGAGCTATGGTTCAGTGTTATCACACATTGAATATTTTAAATTTACAAATGTTGTTCTTTGCAAACATTTCTCTTCCCTCACAAGGGATAGGGAAGTGCCCAGTAAATCAAAAACTGTTGGAGGGCTCTTATAAAAGCCAGAATGCCAATGCCACAGTGAGTAAGAAGTGGTGAGAGAAGCACCTCTGCAGGTCCTCTATGTTTCCCCTTTATTTCTGCCCCTACCCCCTTGCAGCAAGTGGATGGGAGCCCTCAATTAACAGATCAAGCACACTTGCACCTGTGCCAGAAACTGAAGGAGGACAAGACAAGTTAGGAGAGAAAACGCTCTTTAAATAACCACAATGTATTTGAGCAGGCAGACCACTAAAACATCACAGTGGAAACCAGTGTAGAAAGCCATTCCAGGCTCATTTTTTAAAGGCGGCATCACAGGTTGGTCTTCCTTCTCTGTGAGCAAATGTTTGCAGCACAGCTCTGCAGCACCTTCTGAGGTGATAGTGCTACAAATTTGCACTTATGGAAGGAGGTCTGACTACCATATAAAGAAAGATATGGCAAAGAAAAAAAATTTGGCTGCAAGGGCTTGAGTATGTAGTCCAGTAAATTAAAAATGTAGAGTTTTTTTTTCTGTAACTATTTGCAAAGCAGTAATAAATACTCAGACCTGGTTCTGCATTGGTATATAAATGATGTACTAAGTAGGCATGCTTAGCACTTGTTACATGAAACGTTATAATTTGCCTTGTTCTGTATAAGCAACACCTGTGTTGATTATTATGAAAAATTATTGAGAGAACAAATAATACTATATAATCCTGCTGTGGGTGGTTGAGCAATGCAGTTATTTCTTTTCTTCTTTGTGAAAACTGAAGGTAAAAGTTAGTGGTTGCAGGCCAGTCAGAGTATATTTTTTTTCTTTTTGAAACTCTAGAAGGTCCTGCTTATTGAAAAGTAGCATATTCACTAGTCTTAGAAAGCTAAGCTCCCTTCCTTTACAGTTGTGTCATAGCTAACCCAGGATACAGCAGAGAGAGACATATTTGATTGCACTGTTCAGACTGCTTATGTTTTCCAAACAGGGTACCAAACATATGGAAAAATAGATTAGTTCGGAGTAGGCTATCTATCCTCTATGCATTTAATTAAGAATGTTATTAACTTCAGGAATAAAAGTTGCCACCACACATGATATTAAAAAGAAATTGGTATGTACTATATCCAGAGTTCAAGCCTAATATGAGTAAAACTTATTAATTTTGATATGTACCAAAATGCTTTATGGACATAACTATCCATACAACACAGAAGTACAGTTATTAGATCATCTACACATGATTTCTGTCTACAAGAAGATTCTCAAGATCATCAAAAAGCCCAAAAAGAAGGCTAAGTCCTATGTAAGACATTTATTCTTCATTTTGAGGAAGGAAAATAATCCTTCCAGAAGATCATTCCAATACTGCTTCCCAAAGAGCTGAGTGAGAGAAAAAAGTTTTTGTGATATCCTTACATTACATTACTGAAGGTGAAAAGGCCTTTTGCTTAAGTCAAAACACAAAAACCACTTTCCACCACAACCAGTCAGCTACTCTTTTCAATGCCCCTTTGAGCTGTCTGCTTTTTTTACTGGATGCACATGAGTAGGATATAGCTGTGCTTTTGTGTACACATATTCCTGCTGAACTTACTCTAAAAGAAAATGTACAGTCAGGTGGGAAAAAACCAAACCAAACCAAAAAACTGAGAAAACTACTCCAGACCACCAACTTTTAGAATTACCTTAAAGAATATTGTCCTTGTGTGTTATGAATGAAAATACCAAACCATCTCCATATGCAATCTGCTGTCAGTTTTTCTTGCAGGCATTACAGCTTTTCTGGGTCATAGTCTTTCAAGCATTAAGTAAAAAATGCTGATATCTTCTTTTGTCAGAAAACTTCTTTCTGAACAGCAAGAACTTGTGAACAAGTGACTTTGATTTGGATACCAAAGAAACACCTAAAAATAATGTCTGTATTCCTGAATGCTATCTTTGTTGACAAGTGGTGAGCTCCTCTATGCTTGCTTTTCAGTGTAATGGTGAATGCTGCACAGCCTCCCTTGGCTTTCTCTGGATCTTTTGTATCTGTGCAGACTGGGGGAAGGCACCATTTCCATCTCACACCTTCCTGACAGTCCTTTCAGGGAGAGTTTTTCTTCCTATTTGGGTTACAAATATATTCTTTTTTCTCTAAAGGAATAGTTTTTCCCTTCCCTCTTCAGTCAGTGTCAGCATGGGAGACTGGCATCCAGAAACACATCCAGTAGTTTAACTGCTTCAGTGGTGTACAGCCATCTCCAACTGCACACACTTCAGGGCTACCCTAAGCCCTTGCTCAGCTGGAGGCCTGGAACTGAGCCTGTGTAGGAACAGGCATTAAGTCTGCTCTAGTGAATGACTGCACAGCTTGGAGTAGCAATTGCTTCATTCTGGGAGAGTGTGAAAATCCCATGGAGCCAAGGGAAATGCTGCATTGTTCAACCGGCCACTCTGTACATACATGAACAATTGAGGCTGTTTCACAATGCCAGGTTTGACAATTAAATAAATTCATTAAAAAAAAACTTACAGTCTAGCATATGTGGTATGAGACCACCAACAAATTCTGACAGTCACACCAACAACGATACATTGTATTTCTGCCTAAGTTATGTCCTTTGCACCTTCATGAGCTAAGCCTTTGCTTTTTTTCTGTAACTATTTGCCAAGCAATAATAAATACTCAGGCTCAGAAAAGAAGTATTTCTCATGCCTGCTACTTAATTACAATTTATAGACTCAAGACTAAGTTGGTCTAAGATATATTTTTCAAGTATTCTCTTCTCGTTTATAGTACGACAGTAGTACCTTATTGCACATTGTTTCTGAAAGATTTACTTCTACAAGTGTGGGAAATTATTTCGCTTGGGGCACTTGATAGCTTTGAACCCTGGCAAAATGACTTTCCCCTTCCGATACAGATCATCCTGCAAACCTTTGTTCATCCTCTGCACCAGGAGCTTCTCGTAGAGCAGAGGATGGTAGGCCCCTAAGGTGCAAGCTGCATCATAGTAGAGTTCATGGTAGTGACACAGGTCGGTTTGTCGCACTGAAGGGATGTACTCGTACACGTGCACTTCATTACACATGGACATCATGATGAGGATACCTGCAATAAGAAGTGAACACCAGCTTTCACTTTTTTCACAGAAATTTCCCTGCAGTTATTCAATCCATTTTTTCTTTCCTTCTTTTTTTTGCTGTCACACACCTTAAATATGCTGTAAAATCATTAAGTGAAGCAATCGTTCCTTTTATTTGAGCAGCTTTCATTTGTCCCTGCTACATAAAGATTGTGATCCCTGTAGAGTCAACAGGGTAGGATAACAGTTATAAAGAAAGAGTGAAAAGCCTGTAAAGAACTTGCGTATCACCATCAGCCTCCTGAGTGAGAAGACTGCTCTTTACCACCTCCCCCCATTTATTCTGTGGACTGTCCACAAAATGTTCCCCACAAGAATCTGTGAAACATCTCCACTTTATTGCAATGTTGGTCTCTCTTAGTCTGAAATGGAACCAGTTCCACTTTTCCCATCCACTTGCTTCTCTCTAAGCAGCAAGACTTAGCCAAACACAGGCAGAAGGGCATATAAAGAAACATCACCCATGTAGTGGTGGCACAGAAGCCCACAGCTTCAGACAATTCTGTGAAGTCTCGTGGGAAGCCATCAGAGACTAATTGCTGCTTAAAGCAGTGCTGTCATAAGGAAAAGCCCCTCACCACTTCCTTGCTCAGCAAGAAGAAATCTACAAAATACCAACCCATTTTTTTCTGCCACATGCCAATGGCACACTATCATCAGCACCATCAATTGCGGTCTTTATGGCCTTGAAACAAGAGAAATATTGCTGTTGAAGCTGCACATTTTCAGATGGACGAATACCAGATAATGATCAACAACATTGCCTAAACTACAATACTTTCACATCAGTCACAGCACCTGGAAACCTTTTCTGTTTCACAAAGCTATGCAAAAGGAAAGTGACAATAAGTAAGTTTTGGATGCCATTTATTTTTTTTAAGATTTCACTTAAAAAATAAATTTGTGTATAAAATGTATTGAGGCACTTGTAGCACTACTGGTATCCCTATCTGTGGAATAGGACTGTCAGCTCTCAGGGGAGGTAGCTGTATAACTGCTCACTTGGCACTAACAGATGAGAACTGATGTAACTGTTGTTTGGGGTTTTTTTTCTGCACAACAGCTTTGGCATCATCAAAGGTATTTTGGGTAGATCTCAGAAGTGAAATGAATTAACATGAAAATTAGTTTGGTTTCTTAATTAAGCAAAGCCATTTTCTGAAGTTTACTTTACACAGCTTGGGAATGCAGGGATTTCAACGGCTTGCTAATGAAAAGAATCCTATGTTCCCCCTGCTGCGTATCATTAGATTATCAAAATGACTTTTCCCTGCCTGGTATCTGAAGTAACTTAAAACTAATTACTTCTGTGATTAAATCTTTTATCATAAATTAAAGGTTTTGAAAATATTTTATAATTGTTCTACAGCTTTACGCTCTACAGAATCTATAGTGTTAGAAGAGCTAAGTATATCAATTCTGAAGTTCTCAGATTTGAAGGAATCTTAGTCTTAACACATATTCATGGTGAAAAAATGTTTAATCCCTATTTGAAAAAAAAGTAAAATCTTAATAAACCAAGTTTCCTTTCATTGAAGATGTTACCAAGATGCTCTGAATTGTAATCTGCCATGCAGCTATATCTAGAATTGTTTGGTTTTTTGTTGTTTTAGTTTTACAAATGCTTTCGTCAGCTTTTCCACTGCCAACCTCCTTCCTCCACTGATGGAGAGCCCACCTGCCATTCCAAGGTAACCGTTATCCAGCTGGATCAGAGGGCAGACGGTGGAAACATGTGCAATAATGAACCACATCCAGAAACAGACAGTAAAATGACTTCTCTCCTGTGCCCAGAGACAACTTCAAAAGCTACACCACCAACATCTTAGGAAAACTGGCTCTGATGGAAAGTACAAGCCTTAACCAAAGTGTATTTTATTATTTTATTACCAAGTTAACTCTACAAGTAATAAAGGAAGTTGCCATTTGTGGGATTGAAAATTGTCGAGAACAAAAATTGTGACTCCTTAATAATAGAAAAATTAACTCCAGGTATGGTTCAAGCATGGCAAAATTTTAAGCAGTATCATTGACTTTCCTGTAAATTAGTTAATGGAGGACTTAGAAGTGGTAGAGTTTTACCTTCTAGTCATCAATGGTTCAGTGTCCTCCAGAATCAACCTAAAAGGCACACTGGGCTATCTAGTTTAGCTCCTTACTTTTCCTACCTGGTTCCATCCAGACCCATGTCTTGGGATTTCAGTCTAGGTTGCTCATAAATAACTTCTACTTACATTTTTGCTCATGCTGGACAATGATGTTTGGCAGGAGGAAAGACATTGACTTGGCACATTATTTTGGAGTGGTAACCACTAACTTATGGCACATTCTGTGTTGAAGTCTGAAAGATGAGCTACAACAAGAAGTAGAGATTACCAGATACAGAACTGTTCCTATGCTAGAGGCTGATCTGCCCTGGTGGAATCAAGAGCACTCCTGACACTTCCAGGCCTTGTGTTCATGTCAAATGCTCAAACCCTAGTCTGGGCAGAAATGGTGATCAGTGCCAGGCTGTTCTTCCTTTAGCACCTCTAACACTATAGACCTCCAGCCCATGGGACCAGCAGTGTGGCACTAGCAGGACTTCCATCCAAACCATCTGTGGGTGAGATACAGGATAACACATGAACCTGAGGAGGTAGGACCCTCTACTTAGCTGGCAGAGCCCTCAGATTCTCCCTTGAAATTATCTGCTCCTGCTGTTCTGCACTGCATTTAAAAAAAAAAAGCAAAACAAGAAAACAAGGGGATGGAGAAGGAAGAATTAAAAAAACCCAAAAGTTCTTTTTGGAAAGGAAGCCATCTTTTTTGTACAAATACAGTCCTCTCAAAAATAGAGAAAAAATGTTTTCATTTCTGTCTCATGCCCTGGAGTATGTGAAACCCCTCCACAGGAGACAGCCCTAATGTTGTAGAGCCATTACTGCAAATTCAGTTTACAAAAAAATGTTAATTGAGCATCTTTAAAAGAATAGCAGCAATTTAGACCACTAGGACATTTACATCAGTCCATGTACTGCTGTAAATATATTAATATAGTCCATATATGCAGGTTTTATTCTATTTTTTTACTAACACCATGTGTCTAGGTTGTTTCTCCTAAGTCCCTAAAACAGCACTGCCAACAGAACTCCCTGGACTGCATTTCTCACATTCCATCCCACATTTTTTCATACCACTTTTTAATTCAGTTCCTCTCTTTGCTTGGTTTTAACATTGCAGGGAGCTACTGACATCTGTATCTAGCAGATACAAGTGTGCCAAGCTGTCTATATTTTCATCTACCTTCCTACCATCCCTTCTCTCCTCCATTTATCTTCAGTGATATTATAAATTTTTTTAATCATCAATTGGTTTTTGCCACTAACATGATCACCAAAATACTTTTTACATTATGTTTGAACTTTAATGTTTTGGATGCAGTCTCAAAGCTAAAGAAGAGGAATTTGCCTGACTGCTTTCAGACTTCATCTTGGTTCCATTAAATAATTTTGCTTGCCTGTCTATTCTGAGAAGTCCCACATTGCTTCTCAATTGTTGTTTTTACACATTTCTTTCTGTATTACTGATTTCTAAGTTTCTCTTTTGTGGCTGAATTTCTTGACATTTTCTCCCACACCTGTAGTGCCAAAGTGTGCTTTGTTTATCTCCTATCCCTGTCCTGCCCTTTAAGTATGTCTTTACACTTATATCTTTTGTCTGTGTACTTTTTACATCACCATCCAATTTAACATCATCTGCATTGACCTTGTTCTGTATCTCAACACTCTTCCAGGATTATCAGTATGAATGAAAACTTCATTGTTTGATATCCTGTAAGGTGAAGAATTTCCATATGATACACTTGAGTATTTGTCTTTGCTAACAGACCTTACAACAACTTTCAGTCAATACACAATTATTATATATATAAAACAGCACAGACAGTCTTACATATGACCTAAGGAGATATTAATAAACAGGATGAGATAGTCATTTTCCCAACACAATTAGAGTCTGGACAAAATTATTTTTACAGAGATGTTCATGCCCATCTCTGACCTTGCTGATTTAAAGCATTCTTTACAGACAATGCAAGAGACAGGTACTTCTAGAGCAAAATTCATCTGATTTATTTTAGATGTCTGCTTTAGGATGTGTTGAATTGTTCACTTACAGAGAACTTTTGTTTTAGTGTTGTTTCTCTCCACTGACTAGAAACTAGAAACCAAAAATAAGAGTCTGGCTCTTGGCTATCAAGAACTTTCTCCTCTACTCTCCTATGTAAGTAGCTTTTGGAGCTTCATAAAAAATAATATAATTGGCTTTTCCAGAAGCACAATGAGAAGACATAAAAACAAGGCATGATCAAATGTGCCCCTGGTCCAGTTACCCACACCTGAGATAGGTATCACAGGCTCCTTTGCTGTCAGCAGAAGAAAGTGGGCACTTTGAGGAAGCAGTGCACATCTAATGGATCATACAAGCCATTGCCCAGAAGTTTCTGGTTTTTTTCTGTTGGCTGTAGGTGAAGCTCGAGTGGCAGCATGGATAGCTGCACTCCCAGAATGGGATGAAAATTTCACATGTTGAGGACAGCATGGGGCTCACAGTAATATTTAAGAGGCGCCTATTTTTTTCTCTAATAATTCTGAGGGTGACTAACACAAACACAGACCTGCACTGGAAACAGCTGAAGTCGGGAGGCACAAATCCTGCTCTCTGACTGACCCAGACATGGACCATACAGATATGGCAAATTAATGTGCAAGGGTTAAGCTGAAGGGGGATGTGGGGTTTTTCCCGGCATTCATAAATACTAAGGTATGGGAATGGGAGTAAAAGCAGAGAATTACAAAGTATTTAAGGAAGGCCATAGACATGCACAACTTGAGTAAACATAAAACCTGAAAAAAAAAGCCTATAGGCTGTATGTAGCATATAAATAGCAAAAAGCTTTTAAGATCTTAAATATCCAATCCATATT